AGATGCATTTAGCTATGTGCAAAGCAGAGTGACAGAAAGGGGGGTGGGAGAGAGAAAGAGAGAGAGAGAGAGACTGATTTTCTATCTGTTGTTTCACTTTCCAAATGGCCCCAACATCCAGGGCTGGTCCAGGCTGAAGCCAGGAGCCTGGAGCTCCATCAGGGTCTCACACATGGTGACAGGTGCATTAGTACAGAAAGGAAGAGAAAATGGAGCAGCTAGGCCTCTAACCCCAGCTCCAATATAGGACAGCTATGGGACACAAGTGATGGCTTAATCCCCTATGGCATAATGCCAGTCCTGTACTTATTTTAGCCTAATTCTTACAATATCCTGTTGGGAAAGCAGGCATGTCCATTTTACAGAAGGGATGAGCACAGGTGGAGATCTTGTTCTGTCTTCACAGTAGATGTCACTTACTCTACCATTCTGCCTTTGAAAATACACAAGTGTATGACTCAGAAAAATTCAGGTATGCAAGAAGCATGAAGACACAACTCATGTATTTTGAAACTTACAATAGACAAGAACAACCATATATATATTAAAATTTATTTTACTTTTTTTTTGGAAATTCAGATATATAGTGAGGAGAGACAGGGGGGAAGATCTTCCATCCGTTGATTCATTCCCCAAGTGACTGCAATGGCTGGAGCTGCTCCTATCTGAAGCCAAGAACCAAGCCAAGAAGCTTCTTCTGCGTCTCTCATGCAGGTGCAGGGGCCCAAGTCTTTGGGTTGTCCTTGACTGCTTTTCTAGGCCACAAGCAGAGAGCTGGATGGGATTAGAACCGAAGTCCATATGGGGTCCTGATGCGTGCAAGGTGAGGACTTCAGCCACTAGGCTACTGCACAGGCCCCAAGAACAACCATATTTAAAAATGTGCTTCTGGGTGATGGTCCAGGTACTTGAGTCCCTGTCACCCACATGGGAGACCTGAATGGATAAGGTTCCTGGCTTCTGGCTTCAGCCTGGCACAGCCCCAACTGATGCAGGCAACTGGGGAGTGAACCAGCAATTGGAAGCTCTTTCTCTAAGTGTCTGTTCATTGAACTAAAAAAAAAAAAAGGCAGCACGTGAGCATTGGAGAGTTCCGTTAACAAAAGAAAATACACTGTGCGTCGCTGAGGGCTGTGGCTTAGTCACCTGTGCGTTGGGGTTGTTGCTGATAGACCCTTAGCTCTATGGGAATGCATGAATAACTTAATGGCAAACTGGTCACTGCGGGGGAAGCTCTGCGAGTGCCCTCTGTGAAAGCTGCCCCTGTTCTTCTTCTGCAGTGGGAACTCACACTCCTCGGGGTTGGGTTTCATCTCATTGCAGATGGCAAATAACACGCTTGCTTAATAGTGGGCATCTGCCAGTGGAAGATGCTCCAAAAACATGCTTTTAACAGATGCTAGACAAGATTTAGACAAGAGGTGGCTTAGGAGTAGTACCTGCCTTGTTGGTTTTTCCCAAGCAATGCGGTATCTAGGGCATCATTCTCCCTGGGCATGTTTTTTTAAGCTGCTAGACAATAACGAGCTAATGTGTATTTTTTCACTTGAACAAGTTCTAACCAGCCTTGAAAACCATAGGGTAGACGGGGCTAAAACAACACGTTGCAACTTGGATATTTTATTAGTACCTGGGAGTCATGTGTCCTGGGGCTACTTAGAGACCTCTGGAGGGTCCGTCTCAGCCCCACCTGGTGTGAGGATGTACGCACAAACAGGAGGAGAGGCCCCTCCCAAAGAGGCACTGGTGTCTAACACCAGTAGGCTGTGGGTGCCCTCATTGGCCAAGCTGACCCTGGCTCCCTGTGAACTCGCTGCCCCCAGGGGCGGTGCAGACCGGTAGATGAACTGCGCTCCGCCTGCATCCCCAGCTGGCAGCTGTGGACCCGCAGCCTGCATTTCGCAGGCCGCGGCCGCCGTCGCCACCGCCACCACCAAGGCAGCCCCTTGAGCTCTTGGGCTGGCAGAAGAACAAAGAAAGCAGCGCAAGAACAAAGGCCTGCAATGTAGAAGGCGCAGTTTTAGAAGCTTTTGTAAAGGCCTTTAATGTGCTAAGTGGGAAAAGCTGAGTGCGGGAGAGATCCTGTGTGCTCAGAGGAGAGGAAGGGCAGGCGGGGCGGTGGGTGGGTTGCATGCAAACCTGTGCGCAATTCCCTTCTGCACGTACCACCAGGGCACACAGTTTCTGCACAGGTGGGATGGAAATGTAAACTTATTTTGGAATCCATGCATCATTTCTCACCACATGCATTTTCATACACTTTTCTAAAGACCCCCAGTATGTACAGCTTTCAAATTTTAAGAACGATTTTGTTATTATTCTTTTGAAATTTTTATTTTGGTGGGAGAAACCCGGAGAGACACAGAGAACTCTCATTTGCTTGCTCATCTCCCACAGGCCTCCAACAGTCAGGGTAGGCCCAGGCTGAATCCAGGAGCTGGGAATGCAATTCAGGTCTCCTGCTACACGAATGCACGAACCATCTCTTACTGACTTCACAGGTGCACCTTAACAGGAAGCTGGAACCTGGAGAGGAACCAATCCTTGAATCCAGGCACTCCCATGTAGAGTAGCTCTCATGTTTCCTAATCAACAGGCCAAATACCCATCCTTGGATTTTGAGCATTTTCATTTTTGCAAGCATTTTAAAATTAGTTATTTGAGGACTGGTAATGTGGCATAGTGTGTTAAGTTACTACGTGGGATTCCTTAATCCCATTTGGGCATCGATTCTTCTCCTAGCTGTTCCACTTCTCATTCTGCTCCCTACTCATAGCCCGGGGAAAGTAGCAGATGGCTCAAGAGCTTGGGCCCTAGTATGTACTTCTTGAGACGTTCAGAAGAAGCTTCTGGCTTCAGCCTTGCCCTTGTTACTGCCATTTGAGAAGTGAGCCAGTGCATAGAAGAAGATCTGTCTCTTTTTCTGTGTCCCTAACTCTTACTTCCAAATAAATAAGCAAATCTTTTAAGATGTTAGTTATATGAGTCCCACTCTGATTGGTGATTCATGAGAGCATGCATCCTTCTCAACTATGTAAACAATATTAAAAATTTTTTTTTAAATTTAAAAATTTATTGTTGAGAGGCAAGGGAGAGATGAGGCACTCCCATTGGCTGGCAGACTCAGCAGACATCCAAAATAACTCCTTGAGAAGCAGCAGGCTGGGAACTTGATGCAGGTCTCCCCCATGAGTGTCAGGAGTCCATTCTCTGACGTCATCAAGTACTACCTCCCAGACTCTGCAGCAGCAGGAAGTAAGAACCAGGAGGGATGCAAGGCATCTTCAAAGCCAGGTGCCAATGTGGAGCACAGTCATTTTAAAATGTTTTACTGGAAAGGCAGATTTACAGAGAGAAAGAGAGACAAAGATCTTCCATCTGCTGGTTCACTCCCCAAAGTGGCTGCAATGGTTGGACCTGAGTGGATCTGAAGCCAGGAGCCATGAGCTTCTTCCAGGTTTCCCATATGGATGCAGGGAGGTTCTTTGGGCCATCCTTGACTGCTTTCCCAGGTCACATGCAGGGTGCTAGACGGGAAGTAGAGCAGGTGGGACAATTGGGACATGAACCAATGCCTATATCTGACACCAGTGCTTGAAGGTAGAAGATTAGCCAATTGAGCCACCAGTCAAGGCCTGAAGTGTAGGCAACTTCATTGGCATCCCAAACACCGTCCTACATGCCTGTCCTTTCACACACCATTTTAAGTCCCCTTGTACATTAGGTAGAAGGAAGATGTGTCTGTTTCAACAATGACCAAAAGTTTTCCTTGAAACATATTTGCTGGGGATCGTGCCCAAGAGGTAGAGAGTAAACATGAGTTGACCAGAGATAAGAGCACACGCACCAAGTTCATTTCCCCCTTTCCTCCCGGACAAAGAGCAAAGTGTTTTACAGCTTGGCCTCAATTGTTCAGCACTTTTCTAGGTCAGAAATCATCCCCAAGTCCAAACCTCAACCCGTTTCTCAACTAAACAAGACAGGAATCTGGGAGGCCCATTCCTGGCAAAAATTATGTTACCCTTGGGAGGGGAGTGGAACTGGGGTGGAAAATATGCTGGAGTGGGGGAAGGGATCTTTTTCACACATGTCACATTTATGAGCCTTTTTCCCCCTTTCTGTTTCCAAATAACAGCCTCAAACCTCTCTTTCGTTTCCACAATCTAGCCCTGGTCACTCCTTAGCTTGGGGCGGGCGATGTACTGCTGCAAATTTGTCAAGAGACTCATTACAACCACAAACCTCCCCCCGCCACCCCAATCAAAAATGGGCACTATTGGTCATACAGGGGCCACTTCTACAAGTGTGCAATTAAGTGGCTCACGAACACCCTGTTTTCTGGCTTGAGGTGGTCGCCTCCGGCTCCTCCTCTGGCTGTCTATCCTGCCCCATGCTCAGATGTGATAGGGTGGGGGCTCCAAAGGGTGGGAGTCTCAAAATTTCTGAACCAGTGGGACTTAGGAAAGCTGGCCTGGAAACAATAGAATGGAGAGGGGTCTTCCCTTAGGAGTGAACTTGTTTGAGTATATACTTTGTTGGAGTGCTTGGTGGTGGTGAGCGAAGTGCCCCAAGCCCATCTATTCTCTGCGAACCCCAGTTTTAGCCAAATTTCTCTATGCTGATGCTCTTCTTGGTGTTCTTGGTGTTTCCATTTCTTTCCTTAACACACAGTTTAGATGAAAAAAAAAACACAAAGACAAGATGCCCTTGAACAACCTGTGCACAGTTCAGGGATTCAAGGTTGGTTTTAGCAAGGCACCCTGTTTTTATCCTCCCCCCAAATCAAATTCTGGTTCATCCTGTAGACAAACATTGCTGGAGTGTTTCTGCATGTCAGTCTAATTCACAGAGATGTGCAGCTTGCGGGAATGACTGAAGCACTTGTCTGCTGGTTGGCTGGAGCTGCACTTTGGAGTTTAAACACAAGAGAGATGTGTTAAAAGCCACTTGTGTGATTGGGCCCCATGCAGACACAGCTGCACACCAGTGGGGCTGATGACTTCCAGGTGTACAGCTCCTCTAGTGGTGATCGCAACCAACCCTTCTCCGCTTCCCGTACGGAGCAATGGCACATGCGCCAGAGAAGGAAACACCCCTGTGCGGCCACATCAACTTGGACCGGAATGGAGAGTTCTGCGCGGAGCACCTGCACGGAAAGGGAGGGGCTACACACAACTTTGGAGTGGGGAATGGACATGCGCAGAGCAAGTGTGAAGGCCTCCTGGACCCCCCTCCCCCCAGGGAAATGGGCAGGTAGGACTGCAGAGATACTTTAGGGGAGGTGCCATCACGTTTTGCTGTCTGGGTTATACGAGTTATGCTTGAGTTATCACTTTAGATTGATATTTTTACGGAAGTAATTGTAGATTTGGGCTGGCTGGCACAGCCATTAAGCTCATGCTTGAGATCTGGGCATCCCTTATTGGAACTCTGAGTTCAACTCCTCACTCTTCCCTTCGTTTCAGCTTCTAGTAATAGAGGTGGTGACTCAAGTTCTTGGGTCTCTGCCTCCCACATTGGAGACCTGAATTTAGTTTCCAGCTCCTGGCCTTGACCTGCCCAAATGTTGCTGACATTTGGGATGTGAACCAGCAGATGGGAGATCTTTTGTCCCTCGGAATCTCTTTCTTTCAAGAAAATTAAGGTTGAAAAAGAGATGCACCTGCAGTTGTAAGAAATAATTCAGAAATATCCCTTTACTCACTGCCCAGTCTCCTGCAAACTGCCCTCAGCCAGTCCTTGGCATCCACCAGGGCTTGTTCCACAATGCCCACAGGTACTCAAATCCACAGGTGCCCAAGTTCCTTGTATGAAATGGAGCAGGGTTTGCATAGAAACTACACACTTCTTCCTTTACACTTTAAATAATTTCTGAACACTGGTAATACCTCATGTAATCTGTGTTTTTGTAAGAAGTGTCTACATGACGTTGGGGGGCATAATGACAAGAGCGGGGTCTTGTACTCATACACTTCTTCCCCACATGCTTTCCATCTGCAGTTGGTTCAACATGTACATGCAGAACCAGGGAATGCAGAGGGCCAGCTGTGTGTTACCACAACTGGATATCGACCTGGATGCGATCCATTGATCCAGCTCAAATTCCCCAGAGTTTATTTAAATGCATTGTGTGCGCATTCACTTGTGTAGACTGGCATATAATTTCATCATCTGTGTAGACTCATGTGTCCACTGCTTCCACAGACAAGCTATTGAACAGTCCCATTGTAATAAAAGACCCTTGGACTGCTGTTTTACAACTATATCCATCTCTTGCTCTGCCTACCCCAGATCCCTAATCCAAGTCAATCACCCTATCTGTCCTCTAAAAATCTGTCAGCCACTTAATCTGTTTTCTAGTTTTATTTCAGGAGCTGTCATGCGGTATTATGCCACTTGCAATGCTGGCATCCCATATGAGTCTGCTCCACTTCCAGTCTTCCAGCTTCCTGCTAATGTGCCTGGGAAGGCAGAAGGTGGTCAAGTTTAATATTCTTACATCTAAAAGCTAAGTTTCTGATCCACTTTTGAATTAATTTTCATATAAGTTGTACACTTTCAGGTTGAAGTCATTTATTTTGACTCAGATGTTGAACTGTTCCAACACTATTTTCTTTTGAAAAGTTACACTCCCACTAAATTACTTTCTACCTTTGTCAATAATGAATTGAGTGAAGCAGGCATTGACATAGCTGTTAAGATATCACTTGGGGTCCCAGCATCTTATAGAGAGTAACTTGGTTATAGTCTTGGCTTCATGTGTGATTCCAGCTTTCTACTAACGTGTACTCTGGGGGGAGGCAGATGATGGCTCAAGTCCTTGGGTCCCTACACCCATGTTGGGCATCTAGATTGAGTCCTGGCTTTCACCTGACTCAGTCTTAAATGTTGCAGGTGTTTTTGTTGGGGAAGTAATAGATTTAATCTTTCTTTCTTTCTCTCTTCCAAACAAACAAAGAATTTTAAAGTCAGCCGAACATATTTGAATGCGGCCATTTCTGGATTCCCTGTTTCTTTGATTTATCTATGTATGTCCCATTCATATCACACAGGCTTAATTGCTGTAACCACCCTTAGTATCTATCTTAGTATCTGAAAGAGTGCTTCTTCCCACTTTGTTTTCAGTGCTGCTTGACCCATTTGACTTTCCAAATAATTTTTACCTTAAGTTTGCCTCTATCTATAAATAAACTGCACAAGATTTTGTTTTTTACAACCTGAAGGAGATATAGTGCATATAGCCATATAATTCAACTATTTCAAGAGTGCAATTGAGTGTGTCTTTAATCTAGTCCCAGGGTTATGCAACTGTGAAGAAAGGAGGTGGCCCAGCATATCTGCCAAAGTCCTGCTCTGAGAAAGTTCCCATTCAAAAGTTCACTGATAAAAACAATGTATTCTATCCTGAGCGCTTGCTTTGCTTTTGGAAGTCTGTAATTATTTTATATGCTAGGTGGAGGGTGCTTATGTGACCAACAGTTTCGATGTCTCAAAACTGTGGACGGGCTTCCTGGACAGAAGCATCACACGCGTGCGGCTGTGTTATTCTTATCAAGTTGGAATATGCTCTGTGGGACTCGTATGGGAGGGAGAGAACATGAGGAAGGCCCTTTTCCTTCCCCTTTGTGATCTAGTTGGGGTCATGACTATATTACTGCATATATCTTGGCTGTGGATAGTTACTGAATCCCAGGAGTCCTTCCACTGGCTCTGAAAGTCCTGAAGGACCCCTCTGCCTGCCTAGAGTAGTGAGATGTCTGAGCATTTCCAATTCTCTGAAACAGAGTGACAGCATCATTTGGCCTAGTGCCTAAGCTGCTTGAATCTCACATCAGAGTACTTGGATCTGATCCCTGCCTCTGAGTCCTGATCCCAGTTTCCTCTCAGTAAGGCCCTGGGAGGCAGTAGATGACAGCTCTGCTAGCTGGATTCCTACAACCCACATGGGATATCTAGTTTGGGTTCTTGGCCTTGGCCCAGGCCTAGGCCTGGTCCTGCCTGCTGCAGGTATTTGGGAAGTGAAGCAACAGAAAAGAGATCTGTATCTCTCTATTTTTCTCTTTGCTTTTGAAAACAAATGCACTTTTTTATTTTTCTAAGAAAGACTTAGTCAGCTAGATTTCTTGGGGGCACTTCTTTTTTTTAAGATAATTATTTTCATTTTTGATGATTTTTATATAGTTGATTATGATGCAAAGGGTTAAGGGCTACAGGAAGGTGGGTGAAACCATTATTTCCACATTCTTTTTCCCCCCTTCCTGTGTCTAAGGGAAGCAAGGAGATAAGGGGAGAAGCCACACCAGCCTCCCAACCGTCTCCCTACCCTGGGACGGAGGACAGCCACCTGACGCCATCCCAGGGTCCTGGGGGGCACTTATGCTGATGTTCCCAGCTGCCTCTGGGAGTGAGGGCCGAACTCGTGGGCTGTGGGACAAAGAGGACAAGAAGTCTGCTGGAGCTGGGTTTCGCTTGCCAGACTTACACTCCTTACTATCGTTCATGGAGCGGACTGTCACCGACCCAGGGATGTTCATCTCCAGATATTCATTGTTTTGCAAGTCTTCTTGGTGCCATCCGCCACTCTCATGCCCTAACATGGTTAGAGGAGCACAGGAAGGATTCATCCACCTGGGTTGCCTTCTCCTGCTGGGCTGTGGCTGGATGGCTTTGAGTCTGGGCCTAGGAGTGTAGGGCAGTGCAGTCTGCCTTGCTGCTGTGCTAGGTTGCAGTTTTGCAGTCCCAGCCTGGGTCTCTTTCTTCTTACCATCCTTCAGTTTTCCTTTGGTTGCCCCATATATGAGCTGCAAGATTTAGTTATACTGAGTGAAGGGGGAGGGAGATATGGATCTATAGCTGCCATCCTGTCTTAACCAGAAGTCACCACCAACATGTTTTAGCCTGTTAGGTATAATCACATACATTAGCATTCCCCACACAACTAACATTGACCTAACATCATGTGCAGGAAGTGTGATAGGCTGGCTTTACTCTTCCTTGCTCTGATCTGCTAATAAGCCAAACATTTGGATGTTGGTCAACAGAAAATGATAAAAAGAACTTTGAAAGTTGGAAAGAAGAAGGCAGACCAGTTGGAGACCACAAGAATAGCTAATGTGCTTAATTCTTGGTGTTTTTATTTCCCATTTACCCCGTGGACCAATCATCAGAAAATCCTTAAACCCAGAATGTCCAACATGCATGAAGGCCTATATTCTCTGGCTGAAAGTCTAGCAAAGGAAGCGAGGTCAACAGAAACCCAGTAGGGGATGGTGCTACCCCCTCAAACTATAGCCAAGGCATGGGCTGGCAACCCAATCTGTCCGCATCAGTAGATTCAAAGCCCAGGTGGGCTGAACACATAGTTCCTCACACACTCCCACAGGTTACCAATGGGCAGGCTGATGACCATCCTGGGCAGTAGTCAACTCCAGGCCTGCCCACACTTGAGCACTGAAGGGGCAGAGCAGAACCTGGTGTCTCTCTGTCTACACCTAAATTCATCTGGACACTTAGGTCCAGCCACTTTGGTGGACTCAGGTGCATGTGTTCAGCCTCCACAGGGCACTGCCAGGAATGAATCAGAGGTCCCAGCAGAGCCAGAACAAGGAAGCAGCAGAAGAGCAGGCCAGGGCTCTGAAAAGTAAGCTGTTCTGAAAACTAAGAGCCCATGAAGGTAGACCAGAATCTACACGCTAAGCCTAAACAGGGCAACTGCCTTTTCACTAAAATAGAAGGTTTAAAAAGGATCAAGAGTCTCCTCACACAGCCAAAATATGCAGGACACAGTTGAAGCTAACCCCTAATCCATAAATCCAGACAAACCACGATTTGAATGAGAAAGGAAAAATCAACTGATACCCACACTAAGATGAATCAGATGTTGGATTTATGTGACAAGGATTTATTTACACAAATTACTTTTTAAAAATGTTCCAACAAGTAATTATAAACTTTTTGGAAACAAAAGAAAAATAGAAAACCTCAGCCAAAAAGGAAAAGTCATAGAGAAGGACCAGATGGAAATTATAGGACTGAAAAAATGCAATAACTGCATTAAAAGTCATCGCCAAACATCAAGAAAAGCAGGCAGGTATGATAAAAGGAAGGCATCAAAGTTGAGGACAAAAGGTTTAAGAGTTGCACGGAGTATTTACTGTGCCAGATGCTGTTCAAAGCAGTGTGTGTGTGTGTGTGTGTGTGTGTGTTGATGCATTCAGCCTTCACAGCCAGAAGGAGACAGCATTCTTTCTTTATTTGATAGGCAAGGAAACTGAGACATGACAGGTTGAGAGACTTGCCCCTAATCAAACAGCTCAGTAGTGGGAGAGCCAAGCAGACAGGTGGCTTACACATCCCTCTCCTCTCTTACCCACATGGAGTGTTTCATGATGCTGAGTCTCCAAGAGCTCAAATGACCCATCTCTCCCAGGGCTTCTGCAAAAATCTGCTGCTGCCCCTGCATCCCTCTTGTCTCCTGTTCAGGTCCCTCACCTCCTACTCGCTTGCTCATCAATCAGGACCCTCTCAGACTTCGTTGGAATTCTTAGAATTCATCCCTGCCCCAGGTCCTCTATACTTGCTCTTTTTTTTCTGCCTGGTCCAGCATCTTTGCTTGCTTGGGCCTTTTATTTACATTTTTGTCCAGATTAGATTTCAGAGAGTCTTTCTCACAACTCCACTTCATAATTTCCAGGTCATAGTTTGCTACTGTTCCTTTTTTCAAACTGTCTTTCTTATAATTAAAACTTGGTAAGCTGAGAGGGCTTGTTTATCCTGCTTACTGCCTCAATACGACTAGTAGCCAGAACAAGGCTTGACTTCCTGTGGGAACTCAAATATTTGGTGAATGCATGAATAAGTCAATGAAGAGTGATTTGGAGAGTTTTTGTTAACTCAAAGGCAGAAAGATGAACTTTAAACAGAAATTTTGAGCCTTAATTCTTTAGTGAAAGGTGTTACAACAAGTCCTTAGTCCTTATGCTAATATAAAATATATTGTATAGTGAACTTTTTTTTTTAAAAAAGATTCATTTGTTATTTGAAAGTGAGAATTACAGAGATGGAGAGGTAGAGAAAGAGATTATCTTTCATCTACTAGCTCATTCTCCAGATGACACAATGGTCAGCAGTGTACCAGGCCAAAGCCAGGAGCTTCATGTGAGTTTCTTGTGTGGTGGAAGGGGCCCAAATGCTTGAACCATCTGCTGCTTTTCCCAGGCAGTTAGCAGGGAGCTGGATTGAAAGTGGAGCAGCCAGGATCCGAACTGGCGTCCATATGGAAGGCCGGCATTGCAGGCTGTAGCTATATCTACTATGCCATAACGCTGGCTCATTGTTTTTGTCAGTATAATTTGCTAATTACTAATATATCACTTTTATATTTCTGCCTTTTAAAATATATCTTCCATATTTCAGGAAATGTGTCATTGATAAAGGAGTTACAGTCAAGTCTTCATGCTTTAAAATGTTCTTTAATTGATAATGACTTGAAAGTTGTCAAGCATTAAGTATTTGCAGAGCACAGAGCCAAATGACAGGTGCCTGCTGTGGGGTTTTATCCCAAAAATAAGCCAAGGGAATCCAGCTCCTTAGCCCTCTTCTCCACTGCTGATAAAGGCTATTCTGTTTGCCCACAAAGACCAGTTCTAACCATCCTCTCTGTGATATTCAAAATGGACACAGAGAACTCGGGGACCCTTATGGCCTCCTGCTCCTGCAGAGTGCCTGCCTGGTTCGCCTGGGATGTGCAGAGCTTTCAAGATTGTCTGTGAACTGACTCATGGCTTTGGGCTCTGGGGCAAACAAAGAAATGTAGGCTCTAGGTCCAGCCTTTCAAGAGTGCACAGGTCAGCATGGGAGAGGAGACACACTGGCACACATGAAGTGTCTAATAGCAACTGAAGTTCATCTGTCATCATGGCTGCTCCCTCTGCTCTTGTCTCCGTTGTTGTTGTTGCTGGAAGCTTTCTGTCTTGGTGACTAAGGGATGAGTAAGAGCTGTAAGAGGAAGAGCTGGCTCCAAGCACAGTATAATGACTTCATTTGAGGTTGAGTCTGAGGTTTCAGTGGGACAGGTTTGGCTGAGTCATCACTGTTCCTTCCCAAGGACAATGACTCAACTAACCGCTGGGGTGCTGAGGACTTCGTGTGTATGAGTTCTGGCCATATCTGCCTCCTTTTAGTCCAGGTACACATCTGAATGAGAGCAGCAGCCCTGAACCCTCCTCCAGACCCATCAACCTTCCTAATCCATTCTTGTTCTGCATTTCTGGTTTTCAGTTCTTCAACAGCTAAGTGACTACTCTGGGAATATATTTTGATATGTTTCTGCAGCAGTAACACAATATCTTAGGCTGGGTCTTGCCATTCTAGAGACTGCAAATCCAAGGTTATGGCACTAGAAGGTTCTGGGTCTAGTGAAAGCTTGCTCTTTGCTTCTGTTCTACCACTTGTTGCTGTGTTCTGACATGGTGGAAGACAGAACGCAAATGGATAAATGCCGTGGCTGCATATGTAAGAAGAGGTGGGATGGAAGGCAGTACTTTTCTAAAAGTCACTTTGACAAAGTTGCTGATTCCATTCATGTGCACAAAGCCCTGCTGAACTAGTCATCTCATATAGGATTCATCTCTCAGTACTGTTGCATTCAGGATTAAATTTCAGCATGAATTCAGGAGAGACACACGTTCAAGCCATAGGAGAGAAACAAGCAAACAACAACTACAACAAAACTGCCATGGTTTCCGCCCTTGGAGGCTTCAATGACCATTCCATACTGTTCCCTAATGGAAACCCAAAGGATGGATAGACAACCAACCCTGAGTCCCTGCCTGGTAGTCAAGGCTGCACTTGACTTACAGCTTCACTTCCTACTAGTGCCACATACACTCTACTCTGACAGCAGGAAGCTCATGCTTGCACATGGATATCACACTGCTCTTCTTGCAGGTTGCATTTGATGAGTTTTCCCTGTTGTCCCAAACTCAACATCATTCTGTTATATTTCCTCATTCTTTTCCTGAAAGTTTCCTATTGTATGCTTTAACAATGGGTCTGGGAGCTGGCACTGTGCAGGTTAAGCTATCATTTGCAACTCAGGCATCACCTATGGGTACTGGTTCAAATGTTGCCCTTCTGATCCAACTCCTTGCAGATTACGAATTAAGCATCAATGCTGGCTGTGTAGAGAGCATGCGGACATGGAGAGGGGAGCCATTACAGGGGCTAGCATTGTTGGAGATGATTCCAGAAAGCAGGAGGTGCCTGGGGTGTCAGAGGGAATGGGTAGGGCTCAATTAGAAAGAAGAAGGAATGACAATATAGAGGCTTCAATTAGAAGTGGCAGCAACATTATGGAGTGAACAATGATGGTACCACTGGCAAAGGTGCCTTCATCATATTCAGAGAACGGTACATGAAGCTGAAATAAAGGTTTGTTTTGGGGAGAAATGGGCAATGTGCGTGGAAAGGGAGCAGGGAGGAGCTGGGCTGGTAACAATCATCCAGCTGGTGTTCTCTGGCTAAATGGGAAGAGCAAAGACTTGAGTATTTTTGAGCAAAAAGTGGCATTGAAAAGGCAAGATTAAAAGCTTTTGGATCTGATTGCTTTGTTTATAGTGGAGGGAGGTTGAGAAGAGGGAAGCCATAAGGATTTATGGAGGGAATCTCAATATAAGATGACAGGGCATTAAGGAAATACCAAGAGTGAGTCAGGAGGAATGAAAAGAAAGAATTCATAGCTAGAATCCACACAAGGTACCACCCCCAAAGGAGTCAGAGGCAGCTTGGGGTGGCCTTGTGTGGATTCTAGTAGCTGGCATCACAGACTGACAGGAAGGAGAGAGAACTGAGAAGATGATTGGAAAGGATTCCCAAATCCTAAGTGGGAGGTGCCAGTGGGTCATCAGAATGGAAATGTCTCTCGAGATGGTCAGAAAGCATCCGCTAGGAGCCAAGGGGACCAAGTCCAGGATAATGATGAAAGTTGTTTACCCTCACCAAGGGAGGCCATGGAGAAAGATAAAAAAGGCTGGGGCATCTTGGCATCAGACAGTAGGAAGTGTAATGGGATGATCAAGATTAGATCTTGGAACTTTATCATAAAATAATAATAATAATAAAAAGACAAAAAGAGATTAGATCTTGGAAAATGCTTGCACTTGGAGAATGGGAAGGGGACAGAGGAAGAATCACTGCCACTGCGGAGGAAAACTGGATGACACAGAGTCATGAGGGCTAGAGGAAGTTTCTTGAAAGAAGTGATCCGTTGTGGCACACTTGGCAAAGAGATTGAGAAAAATAAAGACGCAGTCAGTGAAGAATGGCTTTGGCCATGTGGATGCAAAGTATCCAAGGAAACCAATAGGTTTCTTTGGTTTATGAAATTGCCAGGGACTAACAAAGGCATGCTGGTCAGAAACGGATTAATGGGCTATGTATCTCCATCTTCCAGGAAGACCTAGAGCCAGGCACCACGACCCAGCAGGTTAAACAGCCACTTGGGTCTCTGTCTCCCATATCAGTGTACCCCCTTTGCTTCCAGTGCAGCTCTTTGCTAATTCACAACCTGGAAAGCCAAACACCCAAGTTCCTGCTAACCACATGGGGAGACCTGAATGGAATTCTGGGTTCTAAGCTTCAGCTTGTGCACCCCTAACTTTTGTGGGTATTTGGGGAATGAACCGTAGTAGAGTTCTCTTTCTTCCACTCTCTGTCTCTCTCTCTTATTCACTCTGCCTTTCAAATAAAAATTTTTAAATCTGATATTTTGTACATTATGAAAAAGAAGATTTAAAGGGAGAACAGCAACAAAGTCATTTTGCAATAAAACTAAAATATAAATAGTTCTAACCCGGGCTTGCAGCCTGTGACCAAAGGATCTGAACGATAGATACTAACTTGTGATACCTTTTTTCACCCAAAAGATAACAATATTGGGCATAGAAGAAAGAAGTTTTCTTGATACAGATTCCATCATAATGATACCTGAAAGGAAAAAAAAATGTTGTCTTAAAAATTATATAAACCGAGGGGCCAGCACTGTGCAGGCGGCTAAGCCACCCGCCTGTGAAGCTGGCATCCCATGTGAGCAGCAACTCACGAGCTGGCTTCCAGTTCAACTCCTTGCTAATGCCCCTAGGAAAGCAGCAGCAGCCAGCTTAGATGCTTGGACCCCCGCCACCCATGTGGGAGATCTGGATGGAGCTCCAGGCTCCTGGCTTTATCCTGGCTCAGCCTTTTGTGCCATTTAGGAAGTCAGCCATCAGAGGTGGAAGATCTCTCTATCCATTTCTCACTCCTTTTTTATAAGTCTGCCTTTCAAGTAAATCAGTAAACCAATAAAAAAAATGTTAACCTACTGACATGCTTCATGGAAGACACAGAAGAGGTTAGGTAGCAAAGACTTGGCGATTTTGGAGTTTTACATCATTAACTCCATTTATGACAAAAACCAAATCAGCCATTCAGCCCCTCCAAGCTATTGGGTAGAGATATAACTTCATCCTACAGGTGACCCCTTCTCAGATGATGTGCCTGACAGTTTTTCAGTATTGCCACAGTGTGAAAGTGATGCACACCCACTAAGAATCCTGACCAGTTCAGAAGGTGGATCTCTTCCAGGGTTAGTGTAGTATTTCTCAATCTTGCACTGCTGGGTGGCAGAGTGAGTGCAGCTCCCAGTCGGCTCCGAGAGGGGGCAGCCAGCATCATGCCACAGTGCAGTGCAAGCAATGATGCAGCCCATCATTACTTGAAGGGCATCTGTATAAACACATATTAACTACTCTGCTTTCCCAGCTTTGCATGCCCTAATCCTAAATGCCACCCAGAGCTAAGTGGAGCAACATTAAGGTTCTCGCCATTGGAACCGAATTCAGGTTCCTGGGAACCCAGGAGGGAACCCAAAGATCTGTCTTGGCAGCACAAGCCTGGTTCTCTTCTGTTGAGCCAGTGGGCAGGCCCCAACCCTAGGACAGCCCTTCCAGTGTAGATGTCATTGACTGCCAGGGTTTCTTCCTTAACCCTATCACTGTTCTCTAAAGGTGACCTCATTAAGTTAGGGAGTGACATAACTGCCCCTGTGGTTAACCTACTTAACATCTCAGTACTGGCCTCTATTCTGAGAGCTTTGCAAGATTTCATCAGTAGAGAATCGCAGGCCTTAGCACTAAGTTCTCACCCCTGACATGCTGGTGTACAGACTTCAGTTAAGATGTTTTCCAGAAACATCAAGCCCCAATGACACAAATCAGCACTCAAGCTACTGTTCTCCCTGGACTCACTGGAGTTCGCCTTCGTCATTCTAAAAGAAACATGCTGGCCTCAATCACTGACCAATCCCAGGAAAGTCACATGCCTGGTGAACCAACCGGAAGTCCGCACATGAGTTGATCTCAGCTGTAAGATCCAGATTCACTGCCTTTGCTCCCTAGTGAGACCAGGAATGAAGCCTTAGCTGCCTGGCTCTTTGTTTCCCACTTCCACCCTTTTCCCACAACTCCACTGTCAGTGACTGGCTCCTTGCTTGCAGGGCAAGCTAATGATTTTTTTTTTCAAGTTAATTGTTGCCCATTGTTAGGGTTGGCAAACTCTTCCTCTGCCTTTAATTCCTTCATGGGTGGCTGGCCCCTCTTGTAATTAGCTTCAGTCCTTTCTTGTTGACTTTCCATTTTGATTTAAAACAAACAATAGCAATAGTAAATGAGTGACAAGCATGACACAAAGAAATGTTCGCACTGGAATTTCCTTTTGAGTTAAAAATATAACCTTGGGACTTAGCCTTCTGAATATAATGGCAATATTCTAATACAATGATATTAGAACCTTTAGGAGAATGAAAACAGCTTCATTATTCTATGTGTACACTTGTCTAAATACTTAAACAGTTAGACACTTGCATGTCTAGACTTTTAAGGTGTTGAAATGGAAAAAAGTAGGTTGTAGTTGCCACTGACAGTGAGCAACCTGACTAGTTTCCTTCTCATGGTTGGAGCAGTGAATTATAGCTCAGCATGATGAAAGTAGGGCTGGTAAAATGAAGTTCATTAAAGGACATTCTAAGAGAGTAAAGAGCCAGTAGAGAGGACACTTGGCTATTGCTTTCCTGAGTGGGGATTTTATTCCTGAAGTGTGAGTGGTACTGACTGGCAATGTGCCTGTGAATCTCATGACTGGATTTGTGGTGGACATCTGGACGTTGCATCCCTCGAGCTCTTTGCACTCGGGGCTTCCAGTACATATTAGGAATGCCCACTGGGACTGGAGCACGGAGCGGGCAGTTGGGAGAGCAAAACCTCAATATTAATTATGATGATCATATAATGAAGATGACTCACCCCAGTGTCATACGGGGCCTTATTGCGCATGTGCCATGGCTAGATTCTTCTGGCTCGGCAGTTTTCATTTTATCAGAACACTTTAACCATAACTCGTCTTGGGTGGGCCCCAGGTGGAGAGCAGGTCGGTGGCTTCACTTCTGGAGTACAGACTTGTAGCTCCTCCCCCAGGCTGTCATGTCTAATTCTCTGCCTGCCCTAAGGTTTTTACTTTTACACAATTCCTAAGAAAACAGAGAGCAATACTTGTTTTCAGCACCATCTGAAGGATTTCAGGCACAAGAATTCAACTTGAATCATGAGCACCCTTCAGTAACAGCTGTTCTTTCTAGTTTGTTTCGCATTTTTTTTGTGTGATTCATTTTGTTTTTCCCTTTCTTTTGACCATTAAAATAAATTTTAACACTTAAAATCAATTAGAAGCCTACCTGGCACTTCCTCTTGTGCCCAGTCTTCGGGTGCCAAGATCAGGAAACACGAAGCGCACAAGCTGAAAGAATAAATCAGAATTAAGGCTGTTATTGGAGAAGTTAGACGTAAGGGTCCAGTCTTGCTGCCCTAGCGATGTTCAAATTCTAATTCCTCTTTTATGACTATAAATAAAATAAATGTAGATGACATTTCAGGAAAAATCATACCAATCTGAAGAAAAAAATATACTACCACAGGAAACTGCCACTAAAACATTGTCATTCCAATTGGTTTTTGGTTCAAAATCTCTGGATGGAAGTACTTCAGATAGTTGGTGAAAAGTGGCATTAAAATATAATTTTGAGGCAAAAAAGTTGAAATTCATACATAGTTTTTGCCTGACTGCACATGCGTGCACACTCGTGTGGCAGTATCAAGTGGACAATGAGGCAACCCTATTTGTTCCCTTCTTTTTACACACTTTTCTCTAGTTTCCACATTTCCAACAGTGAGGATGCATTTCTTTTACAATCATAAAAAAAATCAGTAAATGTTATTTGAAAAGAGGAAGTTAGCCTTCTGGAAATTCTCTGTACCAGGTAAGATATTATTTGTACCAGAAATGAACCTTACCCATCAAATGCCCGGTGCTGACAAAAAGAGCAAGAAATATTCCAACATCTGCACAGGAACTCGGTGAAATCAGCCTCACTCCCAGGGGAGGATGGAGGAAGTGAGAATTGGGTATTTGGTTGTTTTCTCCTGTAAACACGTTTTGCGGTCATATCCTTCCTCTCTCCCCCTTCTCTTTCCATGTGGTCACAAATTTGGCAAGTGAGGGTCCCTTCCCAATAAATACCACTGCAACTGAACTGGCCCTTTCATCAGACAAATTCCCAATGAGAGTTGAAAGTCTCCATCTTGGCCTCTTGGGGAACAAATTCTAAGCTGTGAAGTCCTTTTAAAATGTCCTTTGTCACACTCTGCGGTCCCTGGTTAGTTTTTTCCTTTGGAATATCTAAAGTGAGACTATCCTGGTCATGAAACAATCCTTATTGTAAAAGGTACTTAAAAGGCATAGAAACTGAGGGGTTTTTTGTTTGTTTGTTTTGTTGGATTTTTGCTACCTTAGAAAAAGAAGTGGGACTCCTAGGGGACCCAGACACATCTAGCTGAAGTCAGTTGCTTCCCAAAGAGAAGCTGAAAGGTAGATAGATGAAAAATAAGAATAGGTTGGAATACCAAACTCAGTAAAGCTTTTGATGATGCTTCCATCATTCTAAGTGATGAAAATGACAAGGGGCAGGTATTAACAGTCTGGTAGGGCGTTTTCACACCTGTTTGGAAAGCCTTGCTCTGTTTCTATGTACCGAGAGAATGGTTTCCTAGAAGCACCACCCCCACCTACCATTGGATAATGCAATATTCTGACCCATCATTCGCGTCCGATGCACCTCTGCATTAAATCGTTTGGTTTCACAATCAGTTACTGTCTTGGCTTTAACATGACACTGTTTGAGTCAGGTCAGGCTGACAACAGGGAAATTGGTTTGTAAATGTAGGATTTCTAATTTTGTTCACTTTTGAATCTTCAATGACTAAAACAATGTAGGGCATACAACAGCTGATGAATGCAAAAGTGAATGCAAAATGCAAAAATGAATCTTGCAATGGTGTTTGTGAATGTAGATCTGTACCTTCAGAGAAAACCCTTGGGAGCTGATGAGTTCTCGGCACAATCCTGGTATTCCTATGCCAGAATAATGGCCCAGCATACCTGGTTCCTAGAAGATTGTGAGAATGTCCACAAGCCAACACAGTTCATGTTCCCTTGGGTGCCATGCCAGTCCTCATCCTTCTTGATCACTACTTTAAAGCAGAGGCAAAGGAAAGTGGCCACCAGAATGGAGTTTCAGTGCATAGAAGGGTGTTGGCCATTTGGTTGGTTTCCCAAACTGAAGGCAGTGAGAACTCATCAGACCCAGATCTAGTTCAGGATTTCCTCAATTACGGTCCTGCACCAGGTGATAGCATAGATTTCCCGTATCTTTCCTGAAATCTTTGAAGATTCTTTGTATGGATTTAATTTTTTTTGCAGTAAAATAAACTCATCTTTTAATTCAGAAACTTTTAGGGATACAACCCTAGGGTGACAGTTCCATTAGAGGATGTCACTTAGTGATGTCACAGCTGCCTTAGTCTAAATATTCTGATATTTGCACAGCAACACATTTCTCAGAACACATTGGTTGTTAAGTGACGCAGAAGTGCACCTTGTTTTTTTTCACTCAGTACTGTTTGTCCTTACAACCTACCTTCCCAAACGTTGCTGGGTTGATTTGGTTCTGAGTGTTCTGCCCACAGGTCTCCATGTAAATTTCATACATGAGACAGCGAGGCACGCTGCACCCCTCGCAGATGCAGAAGTTGTCCACCAACCTGGGGAAGAGGACAAGCAAGAGGAAATTGACGTGTTTTTCTAAAACAAGGCATTCCAGCAAAATCAATAGTCAGCTTTATGTGTGGAATCCAACTCAATGAAAGATGTCTAACTTATTCAATGGTGTTTCACAAAGGCTCAGAGCTAGCATCAGTATTGTACCTTTGGGACAGATGCTGTGGTATGCAGATGAAACCATCACTTAGGATGCTGGCATGCCATACCGGAGTCCCTGGGATCAAGTCCCTCTTCTGCTCCTGACCCAGCTTCCTGTTTATGAAGTCCCTGAGAGACAAAGGATGATGGTTCAAGCTCCTGGGCTCTTCCTACTCATGTGGGAGACCCAGATGGAGTTCCTGGCTCCTGATTTCTGTATGGTTTAGCATTGGCTGTTGAGGGCATTTAGGAAGTGAACACATGAATGAAGGATCCCATGCTGGGTCACTTTACCTTTCAAATCAATAAACTTTAAAAAGAGATATGATTTATTACTTGAAAATGGTCACATACTTGTTTGGACTCAGGTCAGTGTTAAATACATTGATTCTGAGTGTTTGGAGGTATCAACATAAGAAGTTACTGGTTTTGTTTGTTTGGGGGCAGGTTATAATTCTTATGCTGCTTCACACATTTTGGTTGTAGCCAAGACTGACCGAACTATGAATTGGATAACTATTCATTTGGCAAGATGAAGACCAATACTCTAGGGCAATCCAACACCTCTGCAGGTGGCTGCAGCATCCCCATTTCATTTGCCTGTGACCTCAGAGCAGGTTTTACAGCACTTTCTCCCTCTTTTCCCATATCTCTGAAGCAAGAGCTTATGTGGTTCTTAGATCCATACAGTGTAAGCCAAGTCACTGCATTTTGACTCTTTGGATTGTAACAAGATCTAAAGCGCTAGACACTAGAGATACAGTGGTTGGACAAGGTTGTTCTCCTTTATTTCCTGCTAGAAACAGAGTGAAAACAGCCTTTGGGAGTGTGACCTGCAGTGCTTTCGGGCTCTGCTCAAGGTGGGATCTTCTGCTGCCTAGATGATCCCAGCCCTGAGACAGGTGGAGATTCCTTGGTAATGTAGTTGGGAGGGAGTTGGGCTTGCAGCTCATACATCACAGCCCAGCCTGTGAGGACAGCCAGGTCTGAATCCCAGTAGCACTGTGTGAGCATGAGGGAAAGCAGCGAAGGTGACAGGGTCACAAACTGTCCAGTGATTGCTGATCACAACCTTCCTTGTGCTCCCTGCTTGGAGACAAAATGTGAGTTTTTTTTTTTTTCTCGTGCTATTTAAATGTTTAAAAATTTTGAGAGGCAGCGGGATAGACTAAGAGCTCCCATTCACTGGTTTACTCCTCAAATGTCTGCAACGGCCAGAGCTTAGCTAGGGTCAAAGTCAGAAAGACAGAAACTCCATCCAGGAACCCAAGCAGTTGTGTGTAGCACTTGAGCACCTAAGATTTTGCTCAGGCAGGGAGGTGGGCCCAGAACCAATCCCCTATAGACACTGACAACTGTGCACAGAAAAACCCAGCACAATTTTTATACTAAGTACACGTTTTGAACTGGAAATCTGTAGATGATAGACATCTCCTTATTGGTTATGCACAGTTTATATTCTAGGATCAGGCCTATGGAGGCCTAAAGTTAACTTTCCTTGAAAACTAAAGACCACAGTCACAACTGTAACCATTGGTGGCTTTCCAGAAACAAATGAAAATCAACATAAAAGGCAGGGGGATCTCTGGCCCCGTGTCTCTTAAGCTAAGAAGTTACCATAGGTCAGGTGGTTTAGGAAACAGCAGAAATCTATTTTCTCTGAACACTAACAGGCCAAAGTCAAGGTTAAGGCAGAGGCTCTGAGGAATCTGTTCCATGCCTTTTCCCTCACTTCCGGGGGTTGTCTGGAATCCCTGGCATTATTTGGCTTGCGGATGCAACTCTCCAGTCCCTGCCTGTATGTGTACCTGGCCTTCTCCCTGTGTGCTGCACCTGTGCATATTCTTAAAAGGACACCAGTGGGTTGGCTTAGCGTCCATCCCAATCCACTTTATTCAATGTGCAAAGACTGTATTTCAGAAGAAGCTTACAGTCCAAGGTTTTGGGCAGACTTAAATTTGGGGCAGAATGTTATTTGTACTACCAGATTTTTGTTGGCATAACAAAATGCCTGAGATAAGATAATTACAAAGAAAATAGAGGCTCATCTAGCTCACAGTTTTGGAGGCTTAATGCCCAAATAGCTTGATGTAGGTTCTGAAGATCTCTTAGTCTATGACGTAATGTGCACCTAGGAGGGATTCCATGGTAAGTAAGGAAATGAAGTGCATGGGGACAGACCCAAGTTTAGGCTCTTAGAGTAACCCTCTTGTGAGAACTCAGGAGATCAACCAAGAACTGCCTTCGAAGGGCACAACTCCAGTGGCTTAGAACCCTCCATCCGAGCCCTCTCCTGAAGGGTCCATCTCTTTTTAGGAGCATCACTATGGGCCCCCAACTGGGTAGTTCAGATGCTTCTCATGATTTAAAACCAGCTGCTACTGCACCAATTATTTGGTTCACGGTTGAGTATAGGGTGATTTTTATTGGTGGGGTGGAGGAGTGGAGGAGAGGTGATATTTTTATTTCTTTTGTTAAGATAACACTTGTTAATCAGGAAAAGCTCTCGAAGCAGCTAAGCTTCATGGAGTTGTGGCAAAATGTGGTATGCCTCCTACTCAAACGCACTTCTGTTCGTTCACAGTTCCTACAGAGTCAATTGCAAAAATGTCACCTTAGGAATGATTATGTAAATCACTAATTCTCTAAAATGAGTTTTCAATTTCCTTCTAATAATTCTTTCTTGTGATTGTCTGGTGGACAAGTAAGGCCAACTAGTACCATGAAGCGGGTGGGGCGAGGAGGAGGAGAGTGCAGGAGTGATTGTTGTCTGGTGGACAGATTGTTGTCTACCACCAAATAAGCAAGGCCAATTAGTACTGTGGGGGTGGGGGGGAGGAGAAGGACCAGAGGAGGAGAGGGGGAAAAGCAGGGAAGGAGGAGGACGAGAGGAAGAGCAGTGGAGTGATTGCTGTCTGGTGGACAGACTGTGGTCTACCACCAAACAAGTAATACTGTGGAGGAGGAGGGGAGGAAGAGAGGAGAAGGAAGGGAGAGACAGGAGGAGCGGGAGGAGGAAAGGGATGAGGAGGAGGGACAGGACAATATGGGGCAGGAGGAAGGGGGAGGAGAAGGGAGGGGCAGGAGAAGGAAGGGAGGAGGAGCGGGGAGGAGGGTGAGACCTGTGGCATGCCCAGGAAGAAAGGGCTGCCTTCTGGATGGAGCTTGTGTTTCCGCTTTGATCCTCACGCTCCAAGAGAGTCACTGCATTCTGACCATCTGCCTTAGATCATTTTCCTGAAATTCCCAGTCACATCCCCCAAACTGACCGTGGTCAGCAGTCCTTAACAAATGGAGGGTGTCTCTGTGCAGGGTAACATTTCCCTGCCCCTGAAGCAGTGGCTACAGGCTGCTCGTTCAGCCTAGCAGTTGGGATGCTGTCATCCCACGTTCAGAGTGCTGGGCAAACGTCCTGGCTGCCCTTCCAATTTTACCTTCCAGCTAATGCGGCGCTGATGGCTCAGGTAGAGGGGTCCCTATCATCCATGTGGGAGATGTGGATTGAGTGTCCAGCTGCTGGTTTCAGCTTCACCCTGTACCAGCTGTTGGGAATATTTAGGAACTGAGCCAATGGATGGAACTTCTCAGTTTTCCTCTCTTTCTCTCTCTCTGTTTATCAAACCAAAGAAACAAGGGACAGTAGCTGCTTCAGCTTTTAGTCTCCACACCCCAGAAGTGATGGCCATGACTATTATCCATGGTTCTGAAGCTCTTAGCTCCAAGTTTAAGTTCTGGCTCTGAGATACCAAGGAGTTTTTATGATGAGGAAACAAGTATATGATGTTCCTTTTACACTGCAAGCACACATGATCATCTTTACATCTATGACCAAAAGATTGTATTTAAACAAAGTTGTAGCTGTTGGCAGACGGGCAGCCAAGAGCATCTGCTGTAGGTGAACCTGACCTTCAAATTCACCTGCTACAATGACAGGTGGAATGTGGGAATGTGCAGGCACAACTACTGCCGAGTGAGATGCCACCTAAAAGTCCTTTGGTTACATAAGATTGTAACTCCTGCCCAAATTTGAAGTGGATCAGATCTCCAAGAGTCCTGCTGTGTGACAAGATGCGTGGCAGAGATCCTGAGGAGCTTCAACAACCTCTCCTTATTTTGACTGATGGACAATTCAATGAGTGGCAACTTCAGATACTTAGACACAGTAGGCCTCTGAGCCCTCTCATGCTGGGAATGAGATTCAGCTTGACCTGAAACTACCCTGAACTGTGTACCTTCGAAATTTAAATTTGCATTTGATTAATTTCAACAGAAGCTATGCAAATTGAAGAAAGTCATATCTACACACAGGAAATAGGTATTCACTCTATGGCTAAGGGATCAGACAATGCTTAGGGTTTGCCGGAAACCAGCCAGGCCTGCTGGGTCTGCAGCTTAACAAGTGAAGTTAGAGCTCTGTCCTTCCTTTCTTCACGCCTCCCAGGGGCCTGACAGCTTCTCTCTCTGTTAGGTGGTCCTTCTGGCCCTCCAACAGAAACCTGCTGATACTTCTATTCTCCCACTGGCCAGTTCCCAGTTTATGCTGTTGTCTCTAAGACATGTAGGGACCTAACCAGAAAACAGCAAAGCAGTGCTTTTGTTGCACAGGGCAATGGGCTTTCACTCAGAAACCTCAGCACACTCCTGTGTCTCCAAGCATCCTGACACCTGCCATTGCCCCATGTTGTTCCTCTGGGTGCCTTGCTCTTCCTGGGCCTCTGGTAATCTCAGGACACTAGGCTTTGGATGACAAGTTTTGGGGCAATGTTATTCTCTCTTAAGGATTATTTGATCTTGATTTGGGAGGCAGTTACACAGAGAAGAGAGACAAAGAGAGATCTTTCATACAGTGGTTCACTACCCAAATGGCTGCAATGATCAGAATTGGACGGGTCATTGAAAGGCAAGAGCCAGGAGCTTCTTCTGGGTCTCCCACTTAGGTAAAAGGGCCCAAGGACCTGAGCCATCCTTGGCTGCTTTCCCAGGCCATTAGCAAGGAGCTGGATCGGAAGTAGAACAGCTGGGACATGAACCAGTGCCCATATGTTACACTGGCTCCACAGGCAGAGGCTTGGCCTTACTGTGCATGGCACTGCTCCCGAGCAGCTGTGCTTTTAATGACAATGGTACAACTGGTGCCAATAATCTGTCCAGCACCCCACCACACAGACTGGTCCTAAATGAAAGTGATTTCCACAGTGAAACACTGCTGTGTTCACCTCTCTTACCTACCCTTCAACTTGAACAGCACTGTGCTGTGGGTCAGGGACTTGCAGAAGTCAATTTCAGGGCGTAGGGCATGAGTTAGGAGGGTTTCCTTCTAAAACGGTCCACACCATCCCAATAGCTTCTGGTTCCCACCTGAAGCCACATAGGGCCACTTGAGTCACATGCAACTCCATTCTGACAGTTCACGTGTGACCCTAGGAGGGTGCTCAGGTATTTTAGCATCTTTCATCATGCTGCTGAGGGCTCTGTCCCTGTCCCTGGTGCCAAATCAAATAATAAGGACAAAGTCCGAGGGAACAGAAAGAGACAAGTTTAATCTAGTTAGTGATGGGGGGCGGTAACTGACTTTCATCTCAAGAACTGCCATCCTTTTGAAGCAGAGAGCTTTGGGCTTTTTAAGCCAGCTGCAAGGAAGAAACAGGACTGGGGGAAATCAACCATCACAGACTGCCACAGCTTGGTCTGTGGCCACGTTACTTGGAGCTGGCTGGATTCAGTGTCCAGTTGGAAATTCAGTTCGTGTCTGAGTGCCTGGCTGGTCAGCAATGCTGTGTCCTTCAGAGAATGGTTATGCTGGCCAAGTGGGCTTGGGGCTTCTGGCCCTGGGTTTGGAATTCCCCTGCCTTGATCCAGAATTCCCCTAAATTCCCCTAAATGAAACCCCTGGAGATAATGCCAGATGGCAAAGCCTTATCGGACTACAATCTCAAGGCTGGCTGTCCCACTCCTGGAATTCAGCTAGATGAGGTAAGGGAAGGAAGTTGCGGACTAGGGACCTGCTGGAGTACAACATGTGAGGCACTGTTTAGGGGCCTCGTTTGCCCTGCTTCCGAATCAAGCTCCAGAAACTTCAGGTTACCGAGTGGTGACCTGAAAGAAGCCGAACAAGGTTCTTGGTTTCTGCGGAGGGGTCTGGGGGCGTAACAGAAAGCAGAATGCAGCTCTCTTCAACACCAAGTTTTGGGATTTTATTGTTCTCCCATGTGAGAGAAGACACATCAAGTCCCTTCTTCTGGAGGCAGTGGAAGCTTTGGGGGGTGGGTAGAATCACAAATGCATCTTTCATTTTTCTATTTCACTTAGATGCGCTTTTCAGAAAATTCTGAGAAATAGTCCTTGAAACTTACAAAAAAGAAAAAAAACACCCAAAATCCCAAATTTTCTGATATATAAGTTATATTCGCCTTATAGCACCAAGGTCCTGTGTGTGTGTGTGGGGGGGGGTAGTTTCAATTACTTTCCTATTTCTGAAAGGCAGCAAGCCGTGCATTCCAGTATCCCAAGGCTAGGAGTATTTTTCTTTCAACCCCCTCAAGCCTCACCCCGCTTCTATTTAAATGGCCCAAAGTGAATTTCTCAAACGCTGTGGAATGTATTGTTAAAGGTAAAAATTGCTTTAAGTTACAAAACACCCTCTCTGGATCTCCTCCTCGGCGGGTCCCACACCCAGGTGTTTCTCTCTCTCTCTCTCTCTCTCTCTCTCTCTCCTCTCTCTCTCTCCTCTCTCTCTCTGTCCTCTCTCTCTCTCTCTCTCTCTCTCTCTCTCTCTCTCTCTCTCTGACAGGTAGCCAGTGTGGTCCACAAGGAGGGTAAAGCCAGAGCTGTCATCCTTGTGTCCCAATCGGGAGGCCTGGTGAGCGGGTGTGAGTGCGTGTTGTGTGTGAACAGCACCAAAAGGCGCTAGTGCTAGCAGCAAAGGACCGTCCAGGGCCTCGCACTTGGCTTTGGCCGGTCCTGGACGCAGCAGCGGTGGGACGGAGCATTCCTCGCGTCCTCGCCCCGCCTCTGTCTCCTCTTCTAGGGCTGCAGCGTCCGCTTCCCCCTTGGGTCCCTCCCTGGAAACTCGGCTCCCTTGGGCACGCGTCCCTGCCGCTCACCACTGGATGATGGCGCTGTGCAGGCCCCTGCTGCTGCCCACCGCGGATGGGGAGGCCGACGCGCCCTCTGCCATGGCTCCGGCCGGGCGGGGAGCCGGCGGGGCTGCACCCGTCGGGCGGCCGCCGCTGCTCGCTGTTTACTTTAGAGCTGAGCGCGCGGTCCCCCACCCCGAGGCTGGCGGCGCGCGGCAGCCTGGTAGACGGAAGGACTGCTGCACCTGCAAGACGGGCGAGGGTCCGATCTACTGGATCAGAGGATTGCAAGAAATAGGAGCTGGCGTCCTCACACTTGGCACCGACACACAAGGAAGTCACTAACCAAAACCAACGTCTTTCACTACAGGTACGAGGTTCCTTGAAAGACCTCAATCCTGATGGTATACTGTACCTACTTGGAACGTTTTGAAAACTACTGCTTCCTGCCGACACAATGGCTCAATGGACTAATCCTGCGCCTGTAAGTGCCAGGACCTCATATGGGCTCCGGTTTGTGTCCTAGCTGCTCTGCTTCCCATCCAGTTCCCTGTGTGTGACCTGGGAAAGCAGTAGAGGATGACCCAAGGCCTTAGGACCGACCCTACACCCGTGTAGGAGACCCAGAAGAAGCTCCTGACTCCTGGGTTCTGGCTTCAGATCTGCGGCCATTTGGGGAGTGAACCAACAGTTGCAAGATCTTTCTCCCTGTCTTTTCTCTTTGTAAATCTGATTTGCCTTTTTAATAAAAATAAATAATATGTGTTAAAGCTGTTAAAAAAGGAACCACTGAACATGGAACCCAGAATTCTGGCATGGGGCTGGCCCCAGGTGACCCCTCCATGCAGCTCCCATTGAGAACTGCCATTCCAGAGTAACGGACAAAATGTACTGCCAGGTTCCAGCCATCAGTGGCTCAAGAGCAGGAGCTGCCAATTGTTGAACTCTCCTCTCTTCCCCACCTTCATTTCCTCTGTGAGGGATTATGTGGGGTAGTGGGGTGTGTGTGTGGGGGGGGGGGACAAGGGATACTAACTTGAAAGGCAGACAGCATACTGAATGCTTAGTCATGTGGCTGCTGCCTGCTTACAAGTCTCCTCCTCTAGATTTCCCAATCTTGATTAAAAACATATTTGGCAACTCAACAGCAAGAAAACAGCCCTATTTAAAAAAAAAAGGGCAAGGAGCGTGAACAGACATTGCTCCAAGAGAGGTACGCAAATGAAAAAGATAAATATTCCAGGTCATTGTCAGTAAAGAAACATAAAACACGTAAAAAAAATACCCACTGGAGTGGCCGTTAGTGGAAAGAGAAGATATTGAGTATTGATGAGGATGGGGAGAAATTGGAACTTCGGTTCACTGCTGGTGGGAAAAGAAAACAGTGTCGCTGCTGGAGAAAAGAGCATGGACAGCCCATCAAAAACAAGCAAAATCACCGTAATCCCACTTCAGGGTGAATGTCCAAATGAGCTGAAAGCAAGGATTTGAACAAATGTGAACTCCCGTTTTCATAGCCGTGTTATTCCTAACAGCCAAACGGTGGAAACAAGCCAAGTGTTCATGGAAGACTGAATGGATAAGCCACATGGGACAAGTACACACCAGGGGATGTTATTCAGCCTGTAAAAGATGGGAGACTGTGACACACGCTACCTCGCCTTGCACCTCAAGGGAATCCTCCATGACTCTGTAAGGGTGGGAGGTTGGGGGCACTTGTTTCAAGGGTGCTGTCAACAGAATGCCACATGGGTACAGCTGAGTGCCAACTGCAGTGCAGAACCAGCAGGGAGAGAGGGAGATGAAGTGCAATGCTGGGGCTGCAGGCAGCTCACCTCCAGGGAGCTGCCCTCTCTGCCTGCCTCTAGAAGTGCCCAGTCCCTGCTGCCTGGGAGCGGGACTCTGCCTTGAGCGCTTGCTTTCTGGGTCTGCTGCAGGGAGCAGGTGGGTCTTTCCCAGTGACTGTGGCGGCTGAGACTAAGGTTCTTTTCCATTCCTTGTGTCCTTCCATCTGGGAAGCTTCCCAGGATGCCCACTTAGGTGCTCAGAGATGGCAAACAATCCTGAAAGAGCCTGCATGACGTTATTTCAAGTCTCAGCATATTGCTGTTAGCTATGGAATATTTGCACTCTATGGAGCAACAATCAGCATCAGACCATTTTGAAATACAAGACTTTGGGGATACAACAGTGACACCATGACCTCTGCCAGTTACTACATCAAATGTTAGATGCCATGAAATGCAAGCATTACCTCATCTTAGCCCAAAGCTATTGAGGCCTATTGGTTGGAAGACTCTAGAAGTGAGTCCAGGAGATCAATTTCACACCCTACACTCAAAGGGACTGTTAATTGTGTCTATTGGTGGTGACAGGTGGTATCCCTAATTTGAGCAGCCATCATAAGGATGCAGCTCTGAGTCTTATAGCTCGGAGATATGGTCTTTCAATAATACTCTTAGAAGATGTATTCCCAGCTTATGCCTTTGTAATTTGCTGCATGTGCAAAGAACATTTACTTCTGCACATGACTCTTTTACCAGCTGTATAATTCGGCTTTAATTTGAGCTGAGTGCATAACCACAAAGTTTGTTAAGTGGAATTAGGTATAAAATCCATTTTCTTCAAAAGAATGTTTAATCGCAACTGACCTAACAGAACTGACCCAGCAGAGGTACTCTCTGATGAGGAAAGCCAAAACCATGCACACCTGCTCTCGCTTGCCTGAGAGCAGTCCCCCTGTAATGCCAGGCTCATCATCTTTAATATCTAATACCAGTACGAGGAAAATGCATCTCAATGTTTTTATCAACAAGAACTTCAATTTCCTGTCACAGTTTATACCCACAAAGCTTTTCCCCTCCTACGGAAGAATAGAGCTCTTTTAGTTAAACAGTGTCTTCGTTTGCCTACTTCAGTCTAATTGGTTTCTGGATGATCCAATTAAGTCTCATTTCGCCTTCTAAAGGGGCACCAGCTGTACCTTATCCTTACACAAAACCATCTCTGATCCCGGGTGCTTAATTTCATTTCGTTCTTGCAATTATCCCCTTTCTATGGAGGTACTCAGGTGTCTTCAGGCAATGGATGTTTTTGAAATAAAGCTAATGAGCATATGCAAGGCCTTGGATCAAGAATGTGCAGGGGAGCTGGTGGCTGCTCAGAGCGTTACAGAGGGCAGACAGCTGTGTGTGTGTGTGTGTGTGTGTGTGTGCGCGCGCGCTTGTGTGTCACATTTTAGCCTGGAGGAAATTTTTCCTAGGATCATTGGGCTTTAAATGATCTGGAAGCTACGGGGAGAATTTCAAACTACGCTGGAGCAAAATGATGCCCTTGGCGAGATTCCAAACCATGGTCATGTGTCACAGTTGTCCTTGGTGTGCGTTTGCCTTTGCATCGTTGAAATCAGTGGTAACACAAACTTTGTGAGAATGCGTTGTAACAGGAAAGCCTGGCTCTCCACAAAGCACAGCTCTGCCATGTCTTGGTCTGAAAGCCACCACTTGGGGTACCTTGGGGGAGACGGGTTTCCCATTGCTGTGGAGGTTGTTTTGCCCCAGCCAGTTTTCCTGTTGGCCTTGTTGCCGAGGTCACATGGAAAGTTGGATCCGTGCAGCATAACAAACAGAATTATCTGTAAAGGAACTCAGAGAATGCGTGGAATGGAAAGGAACAGCCCTCTTCACAGAATGCTTGCAAATTGTTATATTAAAAGTGGGATTTTTCTGGAAGTCAGAAAACCAAACAAAAACAAAATGAAAAGTGCTTTGTTTTCAGCGGATCTATAGGAATTTCGTAAGTCATCTCATTAAAGCATCCTGTAAACTAGGCAGGCAGCCAGATGGGGACTTTTCCAAAATCACGACTATATGCCAAAATCATAACTCTTGCCCTACTTTGTTAGATAATGTTGCAGAAGAATGAGAGAAAGGCTCACTAAAGCAACTATTTTTGGATCCGTGTAAGTGCTATTCTAGGAGTGTTTAAGGACATGAGGGACTTATTATTGTTACTTTATGAACCAGTGGTTTTAGATGGTAGCATTAGCTGAGTTTTTGGTGTGAGGATCCTTCATCTTTTCTCAGAGTCTTATTCTTTGGCAAACAAACCAACAAGCATGAACAGCTGCCTGCACCCTGCCATTCTGCATGGAACACTTTCCTGGTATGGTAGTACTCTCAGCCTGCGATGGATTTCATGAAAGCAGCTCCAAGCAAAATACGCACTGGATGTGTCTTGTTAACAGAGGGCAGACCCCCTTTCCAGTTGGTCATGTGATGCACTTTCTGCTAATTACCAAACAGAATCCTCCCAGCAGAGAAGCCAGGAGGGTGTGTTACAAAGAACGTTGTCCTGTGAACTTTGCTGGAGACAAAAGAAAACATCCCCATTAGATGTTGGAAGATGAAAATAAAGCCAGCTTTGTGAAGATACACTTGATGACGAGTTGTTAATTCTCTACAGCCACTCCAAGATGCAAACGCAAGCTGGGAATGCCTTATCTGAAATCCTGGCACTTCTAATTTTGGAATTTAAAAAGATTTTGGAATATTTGCACAGGCACAAGGAGATATCTTAGGTTTGGGACTCAAGTCTAAACAGAAAATTCATGCGTGTTTCACATGTAGCTTACACATAAACAGCCTGTAGGTAGCTCCCCCAACTCCTAGCTCTTGCAGAATAGATAGTGCCTCTGCAAGGTCTTACACATGTGTTTGGGAATCCGGTAGAGTAGACTCATTTTACAGGGTAGAAAAGAAGTCCTGAAGTGATTTTCTTTTCTCTCTTTTTTCTATCCCCCACAAATGTCCTCCTTAACATACACCTGCAGCATGAATATACCTCCGCTTCTTCATGGGAGCAGTGCCTCTGCCTATGGCTGTGACCTGTGAGACTTGGGGGAAGGAGTCAGCTATAACCTTCCTGCTGTGTCACTGTGTATGTGATTGAAGGCAGGTGTTCCTAAATTTGGATTTGACTCTGCTTGGATATGACTGTTCTCTTCAAAGTTGATACTGAAATTCCATTCCCATTGTGATCTATTAAGAGGTGGGACCATTAGGTTGTGATTGGGGCTCTAATAAATGGCTCAATGTGCCAC